AATTTAACTGACCCCTTAAATTGTATCCCCCTTCCCTTTCATTAAATAGTTTTTGAATTCCACCAGGTAATAAATTGTTCCTGGTTTTATACATAAACACAGCAGTCTTATATCCCACTAAATCAAAAAATTTTAACAATTTAGACTGTATGAAAGCTACATTGGTGTGATCCCTGTACCCCATCTTATGCACAATTCTTATCGCTCTTTTTTGTAATATATACAATGGTTGAAGTGAGCTTTTGTATGTGTTTCCCCAGGGATAGTAAATGTTTTAATGTAAAGCAAAATGTGTTGCAAATATGCATGGTGCCAGACTAATACTTGAAATGATTTCCTCTGAAGCACTGAAAAAGGATTTGGAATTTTAGTGTCAAGCAAAAATAATCCAAGAATTGGCATGGAGAAATCTGTGGGAGGGGAGCTTATCTAGAATATACTATTCTGAGAACATGCTGAATGAACAACAACTTGTATTTAGATGAACTGAAATGGATGAATTTGTAAAGTATTTTAACACATTATTTGCTAGAATTTAAAGGTTTTTACATTGTCATTTTGAAAAATTGTAGGGATTAATAAAGCACTTAAAGATGCCCATGAGCTGGTGGTGGCTACTGCTCAATATATAGAATAGTAGTGTTGTTATGGCATAAGTAGTGTATACACTAATTCACAAAAGTAATATAGTGATACAACATTTATACTTGTACTTTTTAAAATCCATAATAGTAGCTTTACATCCACATTTCTGTGTTTTCTTCCTACCAGCTCCATTCAGACCTGTAGACACAGACAGCATGGTGCGCTTTGACTCTGTTGGTGACAGCATCAGCCGCTACAACATCTTTCATTACCACAGAGAAGAGGGGAAGTACATCTACAGGAAGGTTGGCTACTGGGACCAGATCCTGACCCTAAACACAACCCTAATACCCTGGCATGGCCTTGTACCACCTACCTCCCAGTGTAGTGATCCCTGCAGGAAGAACGAGGTCAAGAGTATGCAGCCAGGAGATGTGTGCTGCTGGATCTGTATCCCCTGTCAGCCTTACCAGTACCTGCAGGATGCATTCACTTGTGCTGACTGCAGCTTTGGTCAGTGGCCTCTAGATAACTTGACCGGCTGCTATGATCTGCCTGAAGAGTATATCCGGTGGGAAGATGCCTGGGCCATTGGTCCCGTAACCATTTCCTGCCTTGGAATACTATGTACTCTGTCAGTAGTGGGCCTGTTCTTTAAGCACAATGAGACTCCTGTGGTCAAAGCAAGTGGACGTGAACTCTCCTACATCCTCTTGCTGGGAGTGCTGATGTGCTACAGCATGACTTTCATCTATATCACCAAACCTTCTACAGCTGTTTGCACCCTACGGCGACTAGGCCTGGGCACCTCATTTGCAGTGTGTTACTCAGCCCTGTTAACCAAGACCAACCGCATTGCTCGCATTTTCAGTGGAGTAAAGGATGGAGCCCAACGTCCGCGTTTCATCAGCCCAGCCTCCCAGGTAGCAATCTGCGGTGCTCTGATCTCCTGCCAGCTGCTGGTGGCCATTATATGGCTGCTGGTGGAGGTGCCAGGGGTTCGGAAGGAGGTGAGCCCAGAGAGGAGAGACGTGGTTACCCTCAAGTGTAACAGCAGGGACTCCAGCATGCTTATGTCACTTACCTACAACTGCATCCTCATCATCCTCTGCACTGTCTATGCCTTCAAGACACGAAAGTGCCCCGAAAACTTCAATGAGGCCAAGTTCATTGGGTTCACCATGTACACCACCTGCATCATCTGGCTGGCGTTCCAGCCCATTTTCTATGTCACTGCCAGTGACTACAGGGTAACTATCTATGAAACTGATTTTTATAAAGTTAAGTGAGTATTTATAATTTACATTTCTAGAAAGTTTGCAAGCCTGCTGTTGTGGAATAATGTAAATTTCTGTAAATGACACTCTCTCATGTGTTTACCATTTCTAAAGAATAAGGTGTCACTTTCACATTCCATTTGATCACTGTCACCAAGACTCATGAAAGAGCAAGCTTTCATGTGAGCTGAAGGATCTTTCAAAACAAAAACAAAGATTCTGGAGACAGATGAGGACTGACTGTACAGATGAAAATAATTCATGGCAGTCAAACTGATACACTGAATCACTACATTATTAAAAGTTTAGAAATCCATTTTAGGTGCACAAGATGAATTCTGAAGGTTTAGTACAGTTTTTGTTATTAGACACCAAGACTAAAATCCCAACTGGTCTTATACAGTGAATTCATCATGCAATATCATGATCTGTAGCAAAAAGAATTGTAAGCTAGGACACAGAGTACTGACTCATTTAGTTCAATCACGGGAAATAGGACATAAATGCTGCAGAGTTGTCACATGGGGGGAACGTTTTGCAGGATTTAGCCTTTACACAGATGCCTAATGGCTAAACCTAACCTAAGTCACCCAAACAACAATGAATGAACGGGATGAATATGCATTCACCAGCCACTTTATTAGGTATATCTGTACAATTGTATGTAATTCAATGCAACACTTCCGCCTTAACATCTATGATTGTGAAGCTTGGAATGTTTCAGTATTTGGTGAAATTGTCATAAATGTATAAATTTAGTGTTTATTATTGAGGTCATAGTTAAAGATGGTGTTTTACTGGACTATGTTATATTCAGTGGCATCTCTATATTTTTGTCCTCCCCATCTACATACATGAATATCATCTAGTCCAGCACAACACCACCTTTAACTATAACTTCAATAATAAATATATAATTGAATTTCTACATTTATGACATTTTCACCAAAACCTGAAACATTTTGAGCTCCATAAACACATAGCAGACATGCTGCACACAGTTGTACAGGTGTACCTAATAAAATGGCCAGTGAGTGTATGTTACTATTTGTTTGTGACACTGCATCAGGCCAAAATTAAGATTATACATTTTGTTTGCAAGTAGACAATGTATAGCTGCAAAATACTCCATTTCTCCCTGTAGTGTAAAGTAAGACAAATAAGAAAAACATCAGCCATAAAGCAAACAGACCATGATGGTTACGAGTGCTGGTGCTTTAGGCAGACTCGAGGCTACTGCCACAGCATTTGGTCAGGGTGTGCAGCAAGAGCATTGCTGTGGAAATGGATTGGAGGACAACTATCACACGAGCTTTGTATCATTATGAGGTACCTCAGGCTTTTCATGTCTGTAATGATCAACCTTCATGGCACCCGAACAGTGAACTGAAGGCCTTTACCTTTCCTGATCCCCAGTGGGATTTATGAGACTGTCTGAATATTGTAGACTATAAGGCTTCATGCCGCACACAGAGTAATTGAAAGAATGAGAGCTTTTGGCGTTGCAGCAGAGACCTTGATGCTTTGGTTCTGTGTGACGCCATGGTTATCAGTCCAGCTGGGGTTGGATAGCACAGTAATATTCTAATGAGAGACTGTCCTTGTTACCCAGTGAATCACGATGGATTCAAGGTTTCACAGATGGGTAGAGCTATTCTCTAATGTTCAGAAACCTTCTGAGTGTAAATTATTTTTAATATGAAAAATGATCACCATTGTGAAGTAGTGAATTCCTGCAATGTATACACTATACACTGGTTAATAATACATTTATCCTTTTAATGCCAATATTTTTTTTAAAGATGAACTGCATAATTGCCAAATATGTTTGAACATTCAGGAATCTGACACCGGTACAGATTCAATGTGTTGTAAGGCAACAAGAATAGAAAGTAATAATGAAAACAAAAACAAAAAGTAGGGCAATAAAAATGAGAATAAGAATAAACAGTGTACATTCAAAATAGGAAATATGTGCAAACAAAACTAGGAAAGGAATAAAAGCAAAAGAGAGACTGCCTTTATAAAGTGGTTATTTTTAAAATTTATTGCATTGTGGTGATTGTTGTGTCCACTCATACAGTCATGGGTTAAGTGTTCATCAGTGTGGGAGAAGAAACTGTCCTTGTTTCTGGTTGTTTTGGCGTACAGTGACCTTCAGTAGAGGGGAGGAGTTCAAACAGTTTGTGTCCAGGGTGTGAGGGGTCTGCAGAAATCTTCTGTGCCTTCCTCTTGACCCATGAGGTGTACAGGTCCTCCATGGCAGGCAGGCTGTCACCAGTGATTCTTTCTTCAGTCCTGACTGTTCACTGGAGTCTGTTCCAGTCCTTTTTGGTTGCTGAAACAAACCAGACAGTAATGGAAGTGCAGAGAACAGACTCAATGGTTCCTCTGTTGAACTCTATCAGCAGCTCCTGGGGCAAGTTGAACTACCTGAGCTTGTTGAGGAAATATGTCCTCTGCTGCACCTTCTTGGTGATGGCACTGATTTTGGGCAACCACTTCAGGTCCTAGGAGAGGAACTTGAAGGACTCTTCTACTGATATAGTGCTGCTAAGTATGATGAGGGGGGGTAAGGTGGGGGGCTCTTCCTGAAGTCCACTGTTGTCTCCACTGTTTTGAGCATGTTAAAATGCAAATGTCTCTCAAAAACTATAAAAATATAAATGTTATATTAAAATAAACCATAAATATAATAAAAGATTTAAAAAGGCACTTAAAGTCATACTTGTAACCTGTCAGTTTTAAAGAAAGAGCAGCCAACTGGTACTTAATTACTTGAGTAAAACACAGTTGATTGAAATTAGTTGCTAGAAAGACATCCTTATGGCTGAGTGGGATAAGGAGCTGCAGACAAAAGACAAGTGAAGTAATATTACCTGCAGTGCTGGAGGTGTTTTCACCAGTTATTTTTGAAGTTAGAATGTGTGAAGGTTTCTCATATTGCTGCAGTGCTGTTGTTCAGCAGTATGTTTAGGAGGGGTTTCATTTCATGCTGTGGTTCTGCAAATAGAAATTCCTGAACTGCAGGGGTAACCAGTGGGGTGGGAAGAGATGATGCTCAGGAAGATGACCCCAGCAGTCAGCTCACATTAGTGGATAAAATATGACTAACAAGGGCCTGACTTTCCAGGACAGCCAGCTGTGCTTATCTGACATTCTTCTTCTTGCCCGCCTTTTCATGCATTTAATAATGCACAATCAAAATTGCATATGTAATACTCTGTAGAGCTAAGTTAGAGCTCACTGTGTACTTCTGCAGCATCGAACAGCAGATAGAGTAGCTGGAGAACAATCTGGAGCATTTAAAGTGCCAGTTATTTAATTTTAGGAGTTCACGAAGAACAAAAACAGAGCTAAAAGATCTTAAATTGGACTTAGATTTCCAGGTTGCCAGAAAAGCACAGACATGATAATGTTGATAATGTTGTTCCATATCTGCTAGATCTGAAAGTAAGCTTTTGTTTGCTAATTTTGCTAAATATACTTAATGACTAATTCAATTCAATTTCATGTGTATAGCGCTAAATCACAACAAAAGTCATTTCAGGACACTTTACAAAGTAAGGTCTAGACCTTAGTACTCTTATTATTATTATTACAGTAGAGGGAAACCCAACAAATCCCCTTTGACCAAGCACTTGGCAACAGTGGGGAGGAAAAACTCCCTTTAATGGAAGAAACCTCGGCTCAGACCCCGGCTCTTGGTGGGCGGCCTTCTGCCTTGACCAGTTGGGGTGAGTGGATAAAGGAGAGGTTAAGTGTTATGTCTATAGCTTGTTCCTGCAGTACCCAGGCAAAAATAATAATAATAATAATAATAATAATGCAGGTTTAAAATACAGCTGACATGCTGTCAGTTTTGTTAATTATTAAACACATACACACACACACACAAATTGATGAACAGATTTCTGCAACGTCTTTTACATACTTTTGTTCATTTAAAACAAAAAAAATCAAATCAAAACTTCAGTCAAGATCTTGGGAACCAACAAGATAACAGCATATACCTATATATTTATTGGTAATACATAATAATTACACATTATTAGTCTCTTATTATTGGCACTATTTTCATAATGTAAAAATTGGAAGATGGGCATGAAGATATACTGTGACGCCCAACCTGAGCCAGTTGAGGTGGGAATAGGAGTGTTTCAGTGTGCTCAGAGAAAATATGATGAACAGCACAGAGGGTATACATTAGGGCTGCAATCACAATTATTTTCATTACCACTTAATTTGCTGATTATTTTTTGATTAATTGATTGGCCTATAAAGTGCCAAACTAAATAAATAAATTGGGATTAGGCAGAGCAGGAAAAATAAAACAGTGAATCAACTGGTTTGACAACAGATGTTTTGAGGTGTGTAGTGCATTAGTCCCTTGAAGACAAAAGGAGGAGGTTCAAGTGCTAATATATATGATATATTCATCATTGCCCACCTCTCTCCTCGCAGGTGCAGACCACCACCATGTGCATCTCTGTCAGCCTGAGTGGTTCAGTGGTTCTCGGCTGCCTCTTTGCCCCCAAGATCCACATCATCCTGTTCCAGCCACAGAAAAACGTGGCCACACTCAGAGTGACAGCCAGCCGCTTCAACACCACAGTGTCTGCTTCTGCCTCCGCTCCCAGTTCCAGCTACTCAAAAGGTGCAAACATCCATTACACCTACTCCTCATCACACTATCAAGAACAAGAATGCATCATAGAACAATTCTAAATGCCAGTATGAAGACATCCTGTGTCAATAAGAGTAGATCATCTTACACTTTGGCTACATTTCCAGATGCAGCGTAATATAGTATCTACCATAGCAGTATTTTGGTGACATAATAACACTGCCATCAAGTGACAGCACTGTACTTTAGACATTGCCTTTTGCAAAGATAATTGAAAGAGACCTGACACTCATGTATAACACACTGTGTTCAGCGCCATTAGAATGAAGACCCGAAGCTGGTATTGTGCACTATGACAATAGGCTGCATTTGTATAAGTTTTTTAGATTGATTATATATGAGTAATTACAAAGAAACCTAATCTGACATTATTAAAAGTTTCTATCTGCTGGTTTGTCTGGTTTTGCATCAGCATGGCTAAGCAAATAAAATCCAGTCATTATGTTTGGTTTTATGCTGGATAGAGTCAAGTCTTACCTAAATTTGATTAATAAACTGACAAATTCACAGCACAATCTTCATAAACCAGTACAAACAGAGTTTACGGTGTCTGCTTAGTCTACCATATTTTTTGCAGAGCTAGTAGAGCTCAGACAACTCAAACTATATCAGTACATTTAGTCTTAGACAAGTTTAAATACTTATCACTTCATCTAGACAATGATTTCTATTGCCTGAAATTAACATTTGATGTAAGGACCAAGAACATTTCAGTTTTTTTTTTATCTAAGCAGCAACACAACTGCATTATAATACTCCTTGTCCTGTATTTCAGATCTTTTTTCAAAGTACATACATTTTGCTTAAAGTATCTAAAGAAAATGTAGTGGGGATGTTAGTATTAGTGTAGCATGATATTTCCTTAAATATCATAGAATATAAGTGCCATAAAATAAATGCATGTAAGTAAAATGCAAGTACCTCAGCAATGTACTTAAGTACAGTATTTTTGGGAAGTTAGAAACCCTCTGTGCTTCGATGTGTAGAGTCCATGTTCATAGTTTTGCTCACAGCCTACATCTCTGGCTAGTTGTGTTTTTGAATTATCACAGTTTATGTTTTATGGTGATTTTGGCCAGTAAACCACCTTTAACTATGCCCTCAGTAATAAACATATAATTGAATTTATTGATTTATGACAAATTCACCAAATAAAACATTTTGAGCTTCATAAACACAGATATTAACACTTTGTTGTTCACAAGATGAAATGCAATCTGATTAGGTGGAAGCTGGGTGGAGCTCTGCTAGTAATTAACTGTGGAGCTGAAGCAACTAGTTGATAGCTACTGTATGTACTCACTGGAAAAAAAAAAAAGGGCCACCCTACCTTTAAATCATTACGCGAGTTTACAAGTAGCTAATTCATCAGCTGTTACCTTTTTGAAAAACTACTGAACATGGCTTTTTTTGTTTTACATTTAACTCTTTTTCTTTAAAATCAGTAATGCCTATACTTTTTCTGGTTAGTAGTTTTTGCTTGTCAGATATCACAGTTAAATTCACATTACATATCGGTGAAGCTCCTTTATTTGTGACTACTGTGACATAAATCACATACTGTAATCTGTAAAGTGAATGTATATTCTGGCTATGATGCACATGTATATGTAGAATATATACTACATATACATACAAAACAAAAAAAAAACAAACCTTTCAGTCCGGTATCTAGCTTTATGTATCTATAGTGCACAAGCTTTTTTTCTAATCTCGCATAGCAAAACCTCTGCTTCATCCGGTTGCTCGTTATATTAAAAAAATTCCTGAAAATAGTATCCGTCAGATGCTTTTAAAAAAATAATATTAACAAAGTAGCCTACTATACTGTGACCAGTTGTTTTTACCACGCAAAAGATTGAGATTATATGGAAGCATTCACCAAAAACTGAAGATGACACTGAAGGTGTTTTTGCTGTTCTTTTGACTTTGTTTAATGTGCGATCAAAGATGACATCGTGCTCCCTTTTTAACTGTTGCCTTTAGCGTTTTGCATTGTTTTTGGTTTAAGAACTGTAACTTGTAATATCAGCTGTAATGCCTGGAGATCTGGGGGGAAAAAAAAAACCCAACAGAATTTTATAGCCACTTTAAAGCTCCAAGAGTTGGGTTATCAAGACTGATAACTCCTGGGGGTACCATCAGAAGTTCTGCACACTGGTAGCTCCATGGTTTCTTTTAAAACCATTAAAGGTAAGATTATGATGGCTACATGGAAATACAACCATACACTATGGCTGAAAATCAATCTTAAAGAGATGACAAAGCAGCAGGAACCTAATGTTAAAGATTATATCTAGTAAAAGTCTTTCTACTTAAGGCAAAATCACCAGAAGTTAACATTCAAGAAATTATTAGGCATGTTTGTTTATAACAAAGATGTAAACTACCAAATTAATTGGTTTTAAAGGAGTTTGTGGACTTTGTATACAGGTCAATGTTGCACATGGCCAAAGAAGCAGAATGACAGCAGGCAACAGCCTAAACTTAGATGTTTATTGCAGTAAACCAACTTAATGTATTACTGCTACAACTTAACCTGAAGATGTTATTCAAGTTAGTGCAGCTTGAGTTATACAGTATATTGAATGTTATGTTTGTTCTTATAAAAGATTAATCAACCTGCTGGATTTTTGGAAGAGAGTTTGGTCGCTTAGAAAAAGACAAGATTATAAAAAGTGAAACAACATGCGCTGTACTTGGTGCTGAAGAGAAGAACCCTGAACAACTCCAGAATCTGAAACACTGACCTCAGCGTCAACCCAGTCCATCAATAACAGTCTGCAGAAACGTGCTTCCACCTCATGTAGCTCTCACTACACATTTCAGTTACAACTTTCATGAAAAGATTTTACACAAAGTGTGCTTAAGAAATACCTAATGCTTCTTTGACAGTAACTTACATTTCTATGCCTCTGCACAGGTGACAGCCATGACTGGAAAAATAAATTCTACATTGTGTCAACCTGTACACTTGAACGTGCAATTCAATTCATTTGTATAGCACCAAATCACAAGTCATCTCAGCACACAACATAGTAAGGGCTAGGTATCATCATGGAGAACATCCCAACAAGTCCCCCTTGAGAAAGCACTTGGCGACAGTGGTGAGGGGAAAAATTCCTTTTAGCAGAAGAAACTGCCGCCAGACCCCGACTCAAGGCCTTCTGCCTTGACCAGTTGATAGTTTTCATAGTCATCACTCCTGTCATTCTTATCATGGAAAATAAGGCAAACACTCACTTTTAGTGTCTGAGCTTATTTAGTCATCCGAGTTGTCTGTCAGGCTTGCTCTCTCCCCAGAACCCCAAAACACACTCCTGGTCGGTAACGCAACAGAGGTGTGACAATAATCCATCTACATATGAAACTGCTAAGTGTATCCCTACATCGGCGAAAATACGCTGCAGGGGTAGGATAAGTTCCCCTGCTGGGAAGCCTCCCATGTCTGGAAAATCTAATAAGCATAGGAAACGCAAAACTTTCCCTCCCCCAGCCTAGTTGAACTGCAAGTCTCCCATTGAAACTTGGCAGAGTGAGACAACTCAGAAATTTAACCCTAAAGTAAAATAAAAAGTTATTAAAATCAGGGCAGTGGTGATTTAGAAAATGGCACAACTACACTTATCAAGATGGGCTTACAACATGTCACAGCACTTCAGGTGTATGGAGAATCGCTCAGTCTAACCACTAAGCCTGCCCTGGTTCTTCCACCATTTAATGATTGAAAAAAAATGACGGTAAAGCTCCAAAATTCAAACAAAGTATTCAAATAGTCAAGGAACACAGTGACAACTTTTTTTTTTTTTTAATATTAACACACTACTCCTGCAGAAAGGTTATAGTTCAGTAGCTGTCATCTCATCCAAGGTGGAGGTAGACTTGGGTAAAGCTGACTGAGCTTCAGCTGAAACAGTCCCATCAAGATCTCATCAAGTCAGTCTCAACTGTCAGGACCAAAGAAGTTTGTGTGGACACCTGCAGCAACCTCCTCATAGTCCCGTTTACATCAGCAGGTTGTTTTCTCCAGCTTCAGTGTCCTAAGGGCATCACTCAATCTTAAGTTCAAAGACAGATTTAATGAAGTGGACTGAGATGGATACTTGATGTTTCTGAAGAAATCAACAACTCGTGGTGCAGAGGAACCATTGTCGATGAAGGTCTGGTACAGCTGGGTCTCAGTCTTCTTCACAGCTGAAAGCGACAACTTCTGGGTCCCAGCATCCCATGTCAGCTTCTCTGGCAGGACAGGAAACAGCTTGGTAAACTGCAATTTTTCCCAACCAGGAAGTACAATGTACTTTTCTCCAACATATCAAAGATTATATCACTTTAATGCCACACCCTAGTGGGGTGGCTGTGGCTCACGACTAGGGTGCTGTGTAACAGTGCAGGTCAATTTAGAAAGAGGAGGAAAGATCTAGTCACCACAAGCATGGTCCTGAAACTAGGTATGTTTGCTGAGAACAAGAAATGTAAAGCTCAAATGCAGATGAGTGGAAGAGAGGTGTGCTGCTTCTTGTCCCTCCACTATTCCCAGTCTAAGGGCACAACACATTAACAGAGCTTTTATCTAGTCAGGTCTACTCTGTACATCCTCATCTTGAACTGCAATAGTCACAGCTGGCTCTGTCCCACCAAATCTACCCCTTAAACATATCAATTATACAGTCCATCTCTTATAAGGATCATAACAGCATACCATGCCAGCCAATTCACGAAACCAGAGGGATCCTTGTCTGGTTTTGGAAACTGCACAACCATGGTACACAGCTCCAGCTCAGTAAGGGTCCATGATCTAGCCTGTATTTGCCTCGACTCTGCTGTATTCCTCTAGGTACTTGCACATCTGACTACCTCAGTCACTTCTCCAGCAAATATACAGGTTTAAAGGAGGCCTCATTCTCTGTAGTGTGGAGCAGCCCTGCCTTCCTTAACCCTAGAACTGACTGTCACTCTGCACTGATTTAGCAAGTTAACACACAACCTATAATGTCTTCAAAAAGGAGTGCAACTATCACTGATTTGACACTACAACTGTCTCCCATGTAGGTTCTCTATTCTCACACTTAATTTACATGTCAGCTTAGAAAACACCATCAGTGTACATTGTATAGGAATATGTGGAGGTCTCCCAACGTCCAGAAAATCTAAACTCTAACCTCACTGGGCCTACTTGAAGCACCAGACTCTCTTGAAACTTGGCAGAGTGAGATGACCCAGAGGCCTAACGCTAAAGTACAATAAATTGTTTTTAAATCAAAATCTGGACAGTGATAATCTCTATAACAGCACTTAAGATACAAAGTGATGTTTATGTTTGGAGAAAAAGCCCCAACTTGAAAAATTTTCATGTGCCAAAAAAAGATTAAATATATTCTAACATTATCTATGGGCTGAATGAGCACTAGAGAAAGCCAGTGTCCCAAACAGTGGCAGACACAATTAATCTAATGTATCAGAGTATAAAGTGATCACAGGGTAGCAGGCAGTCTCAGGCCGATCTCAGAGTTTACCCCAGTAACCAAAGCAGTGCAGGACTATTAAAATGCCTGGCTGATACACTGACTGTATGTGACCCTGAAAAACAGGTGAGGAACATGAGGAAGTCAGATGGTTAACGGTTAAACTCTGCCCCCTGTAGGACATGAGACAGAGTGAGAGACAGGTCCCTTCAATATGTCCTTTGAGTGTATCTGGAAGTGCCACAGCAGCAAACCGGTCACACATCATGGAGGTAGTAAAATGATTAGTGACCAAAACGCCGCCACCTGGATGATATGAGAAGCAAAGACAGATATACTTTAAGTTGCCATGGCGACCATGTTGGATAGAGACAAAAAGCTGCATTTTGTCAGTCCTCGCCTTATAAGCATTCTGCCATGCAGCCACGCCAAGAACAGCACTGCTTGTTGTGGTGTCTCTTGTCACACCTGTAGGAGGCACTTTAGGACAGGACTGCCTGATCAAAATTTTGTGCCCCCACTCAGTGGTGAAGTTCTTCAGAGGATCCCAAATTTCAGTCCAGATTTACACATAATCAACTCCAGAGGAAAAGTTCATTCAGCTGCTGTCACCATCTCATCCAAGGTGATGCTGGAGTTAAGTGTAGTTGACCATGTTTCCCACAGCTGAGGGGGGGTCTCATCAGGTCCAGTCTGAGTCTCAGCACCAAACAGTCTGATGCACAGGTCTGTAGTCAGCATCCTTAGTTCAGTTGTCATGGCCCATCTGTATCAGGCCATTTTAAAGGAAAGCATTTTGAAACATTGTATTTTAAGTGATTTCTCTTCATAACAGGAAAAAGCTACTTTAAGAGAGCTTGAGCCAGGCTTTTGCAGCCGAGGTCCGTCACCTCTGGAACCTTTATGAAGTCACTTCAGTGTTTTTGAAAGGTCATTTTATACTATTAGCATGCTTGTGCTAACATTTTTCTGTTGTCTTGATCTAATAACGGCTATTTCTCATTTTTTGATTTTAAGGCTTTTAGTAATATCAGTTCCTATTTAAAAATTCATTAATAAGCTAATGTGTAATTAAGTTTGAAACTATCCAAAGCACACCAAACACTAAACCAGGCACCTCCAAAGCCCAAGAGATGAAAATAAAGATAGACAGACGCAGGCAGGTGCTGCCACGACAAGGAAAATAAAAATGAGACCTAAAGTTTTGTTGATTTCCTGAAAATGATATTGCAATATACATTCAAGCAGATTAGCCAGAAAAAGTCATGACACCAGGGTCATGTCTTTGAGAGAGAAAGCGATTTGACACTTACCTTTTGTAGACGATGCATTACGTTGACAGAGGATATCCAGGACAAAAATAAAATCGTGGTGGCACGGTGGCCTAGATCCATGCCTATTACACAAATCTACTTACAGATGGCCACTTTCAGTTGGACAACAGATAAAAATCTAAATAGTCATGGCAGAGCAGCCATGTTGGAAAGAGAGTTGGGCATGGAGGGCCGACAAAAACACCTGAACTAAACACTCTAGATGTCACAGTAAACTCAGGACTTGTGGCAAAGTTACCACAACAAGACCCCTTGAATGAATAAACTGGCACAAGTGTTCTGATAAGGGAACCCACAATAAAGTAAAAATAAATTGACTTACAGTTCGTAGATCTACCTGAAAAGACAAAAATAAAATAAAAAATCGTTTGACTCAAAAGGAGACAGCTGTGGGGAAGAAGCTGTTCCTGTCATAGAGCATGAAGCGAATTTATTATAACAGACAGAGATACACTTTCTCCTAAGGTGTTAAAAAAGGCAAGAAATTTCTTTAGAGCATTTTTACTCTGTAGTGTCAGGATTCAAATAATTAGACCTCATAATTAAAAAAAATACTCCTAGGAGGAGGAAGTGCCTTTCTTGTTGCCCTATGTATCAATATACCACAACATGGGAGACAGTGAATGACAGACACTTTAAAAATGATAGATTCTAAACTTTACAAATAAATACCTATAAACAAATTCTAATTTGATTGTAATTTTAGCAACATTATTAAAACTTTCATGCCAACAAAGCCCCTTTGAATTGAAATGATTATTGAATTAGACTTAAATTATAACATTTAAAAATTGCATTAAAGAATTATTAAATTTGAGCATTAAAGAACAGAGAATTAATAGTTTATTTTGTCATTGAACTGACATTGTGAAATCTAACATTAGGCCTGTGAACCAACAGGAGGTTGTCTGTCCCTCTGACTGTCTACTTGCTGAAACACATGAACTTTCAGATAAATATAAGACAGGACACTGTTTACTACACAGATTAGCTGCTCATGGGCAGTAAAGTCAAATACATTTTCCTTAACAACCAGCCTTTGATTTGTTAAGAAGCTAATGAGCTAAACATTAAGCAGCACAGCTGACATTAGCTTACAAAACAGTGTGGCAACATTAGCCAACTTCCAGGCTGTCACTCACATTTTTTGGTCCCATTTCCACAGTCCTTGTGAATCCAGACAGGCTCGACCGGGATTTCTCCTAAGCACATACACCACACATTCACTTCAGCAATGCAGCCGAGCTGCCACAAACAGGCCACTTGTACATATTTCAGCCTCTGTCACACACCTGTAGCAGGAGGAAGCAAACAATTATGAGTTAAATATCCATTAATACAAACCATTTTTCTTAAATAAAAGCTCCGGGCCTTACCAAACAATCCAAGCTCAGTTTTCCTGCATGCACAAGACAGCCTAAGTTGAAAGCAATTTCTAAACAACTTCCCTCAGTTTATTTTTGCCTCTGAATATAATTGCTAACTTCCTGGCACCAAACCAACGTATCTGAATCAAAATCAGACGCTTGGACCAGCATTACAGCAACTGACATAGAGACTTACAGGATGCATGACAGACTCCACCAGCTGCTCTCAGGGTTTAAAAGGCTTGTGGCCACGCCCACTGGGCATGGCCCTTATTGTTGATTGGATGATTGGTCTGCGGGACCAACCACTGACCCACTTCCTCCCCTGCCACCAATAATCAGGCAGTGTTCAATTTGCCCATGCAGGTAACATGACGCTGAGCTTCATCAGCTGATAATAGTATTTCCAGAAAACAGGCGATTCTTTCATATTAAGCGACAAGATGTCTCTGCTTTTGAACACAAAGTGACCAGCCTGTATCACTGAGTGAATACTGCCCTAAAGAGCCCAGACACCGGGACACAACCTTAATAGCAAGTGTGATTTTATGGGTTTTATTTAATCCAGTCATGAATCTACACAGTCTAGATCAAGGAATGAATTTTGAAGCTCAGTGTGATTCAGATGTCCTCTTTGCTGCATTTCTGGTTCATAATCTAAAGCTGTCGGCTGCTGGGAGGAGACAGTGTCCACGTTGTCTGACCACAAACAGGTTGCTGTTCACCACTGTCAGACTCTAGTCAGTTATTTGTTTCAGTCATTCTTTTTCATTAAAATGGATTTGCAGTTGCAACATTAGCTGTTTCCATCTTAGCCAATGGTGTTTGTCTTGATTGTTTTTGTCATGATAGTAAAACTGAATAGGCCTGTTTGGATGGATAAAACAGTCCTGAGAAGATCTCAGCAGTGGGACTACTGGTGTGTAGAGGCTTCAACACATTGTGAAAATAGATTTTGGGGGCATAGTTGTAGGTTTACTCTAAATAAAATAAGCCTATATTAATTGTGTGGATGCTGAGTCAGCAGCATATTTGTCCATGGCGCAGTAAATATTTGTTCAGCAATTTCTTTTCCTCAGCATTGCATCTCAGGCATCACCTGTTTCAGAAATGGATTTCAGCCATTTCAGGGCGATTCTTCAGCAATCAGCATCCACACGCATTTTCTTCAGGAAATGCATTTGTCTAGTTTTGTTTGCTCACCCGTTTAACACCCTTGTTTTTATTTTCCCAGGCTCAGCCTCTAACTATGTGCCAGCAGTGTGCAATGGCCGCGAGGTGGTGGACTCTACAACATCCTCATTGTGAAGATTTCTCTCTAAGAGACCATCCTGCCATCAGTCACCCCGTGTGTGATGGGGCCCTCATGCCATCCGCCATGCTGCGGAGTGATAATTGCCAGGTAGGCTGACTGACAGCAACCAGGGTAACTGTGAAAGCTATGTGATTTTCCAACATCGAGCAGTATGTATCAATTGTAAAGCCTTTTTGTATAGACTTAATATGCTGTGATCTCCTTGGTTTACAAATAGATGTGATTCAATGCACTGTGCCTTGTCCTAAAGTCTTGTTGTCAGATGGGTGGTTGTGAAGCAATAGTGTTATACAAAAGGCTTGTATTTACAGTGCTGTGAATATATCCAAATGTTTTAGACAATGACAAAAAAAAAAAATACTACTGAATAAATTTAGCCCTTTATGTTAAACAAACTATGACTAACCATCGTGGGTGTGGTGAAAACTAGGCAACTAGACAATGTAAAGGACATGTTAATGTAGACTGGTCAAATAGTGTGTGCTTTCTTGTAATCTATGTAAATAAAATGTTTTGTAATATTAAAAGTGGAATACTGCTTGCAATTCTTGAATTTATTTAATTTAAATCCATCTTTTCAGAGAGTTAGAGCTTTTTGCACAGATCCCCCCCAACTTACTTTAAAACATTTTATTGCATTCTTTCTTCTATTTTCACCAGAGTAAAAAAAAACTAATTTTTTTAAAAATTTGCATTAATACAAATGCAACTCGTGATATTAGCTTGGTATTTGGGTGCTCACATCTCCAAGTTATTACTGTTGTAGCTACTAGTTGAGTGTGTGCAATTCTTCATGTACAGCGCTTATAAAAAAGAAAATTTCACCCAAGTTAGAATTTTTCATACTGATTGTAGTGTCCTGATATTAAATTGAAATTACCATCTAAACCACCTGCCCACTGTCTGCCTGGTCTGTTTTTTAGGTTAAATGTACACAAAAGGAAATTTCCAGCCTAACCATATTTCAAAATAAAATGTCACTGTCAACATGTTTCACTGTAAAAGTGGAGAACATTGGTTTTTCTTCTTAACATTTGTACATGTCCTATAGTGAATAAATGTATGACTGATAAAACACGTTCCAGTAAAAAGGATGGCTACACTTCTGCCAAAGCCTAAGACAACACCTGCAGGACAAAGTGTAAATGCTAAGCACAGTAATTGCCACCATATAATGGTTACTCTGATTAATCACTCCTTCAAATGCACTTAAAAAGGACTTCACCTACCATTTTACATTTGTCTCTCAAAATAGAAGCATTTACCATGACAACATAGGCCAGTATAAAGCCCAAGTAACCCAGTCATCTAGTTTCTAAGGCAGCCCCTGATGACATGAAGACATAATGTGATGTTCATTTTTACCCAACTGACCATGAAACCTTAGGGAGATCTTTCAGCCTCTTCTCAATTTTGGTCCAATACAGGTAGAATGACGATTCCTTTACTTGGGCAGAAGCTGCTAAAGCATTTCTTCAAAAACAAAAGCTCTCAGAAGTTTCACAGCCAGCACCTGTTTGAACAATTCAAAAACATGATGCACTGGCCGTTTTTAAAGCTTTAATTAGAAACAAGAACACAAGCACTTAAGAGTCCACTATTCAGTCATTGGCTTCCTCTTGATTAGGTTTTCTTTTGAGAGGAATAATACAGATCCCATTCTTAGCCTCTTTTAGTCTCCACCATCGGCCCAACCTGAAGAAATACAAAAAGAAGCAGAGTCATTGGTAATGGTAATGGGTACAGACAGTCATCTGACACTTTGCGGGGGGGGGTTTCCATTGAGGAAAAGTCTATAACTTTACCAACTGTTAGTACACTAGCTAGATTAAATTGAAAATTGCCATTTCAAATATGAGACATTCAGATCAGGTCTTTAGGATGAACTGCAAAAGACAATGATACCATTGGCTACTTAAAACCCATTTTCAGGTATGTAGCAGGTTAATTATGCACTTTATGCTAAATAATGATATCCATCCCAGTATTTTTTTTTTCCTGTACCCTGTTGGAAGGGGATCAGACAAACTCTGACATTATCCAAACTCTGACATTATCCAACTATACACTTCCAAGCATAAATCATGTCAGTGTTGTTTGCCTTATGTCATCTTCTCACTGTCATTTCAAGACACCATCATTTCTTTCACCACAACTCAAAACAAGTGAGGCTGTACTGGAAGACAGTAAGTGTATTTTCATCTGTGACAGAGGCTAATAAACACTGCCATCTAGTGGACACTGCATTCACTGAACATGAACCTACTGTATACTGATCGATTAGCTGACCCAAGCTCCACAGACAGTTTCTATGGAAATATGACCATAAGTCCAGTTACCTGTGTTCTTGTCCCAGTCCTGCCACCAAGAACTGACCGGAGCTTGAAAATTTCAGACTGTTGACAAACCCAGACTGGGAGGGAAAGCAGAGGAAGTGACAAAATTAGATAGTCTACTGTGGTAGTTGCCAAAAATGTATTCAATATAAAATGCAGAATTACCTAAAAACATCTTATGTAAATGCAACCTTTTTACAGAAGAGGGGAGCAATTAAGAGCTTACCACTGGTACACTGAACAGAGGCTCCAGCCCACGATAATTCTGACCACATTTCCATAGCTGCACCTGTGAGTTGTGTGAACCTACACAGAGGAATTATTATTTTACACCACTGAAAACATCTTATCTACAGCTTAGCTAATCAAATGCATCAGCTGTGGTACTTAGGAGTGCATAGGTCCTTTGATCGAGACCAAATGTAACAATTACATTGACCAAATCTCCTAAATTTGTATTTATACATGACTCCTGTGAAAAGGTTTAATTTTGTGTGTCCTGAATGTATTAAAGTGTAAGAAACAAAAAAAAAAGCTGGTAAGGAGGATTCTCACAGCCAAAGGCACCTGAGGCGACGGTATCAGAGTTCTGAAGCGCCGCTACCGAAACGACCCAGTGAGGCTGCTCCAGCCCCACATCACCATGGCAACCATGAGCCTGCTTCACTGTGCTGAGAGGTTTCTTCTTGTTGACACTCCAAAGGGACACAGAGCTGAGGTCATTCAGAACATTGAGAGAGGGTACAGAAGAGAAGCATGAACGGATGTGTAAGCACACTGAGATCCTGGGGTTTTTTTCTGTTATTGAGACAATACAAGTGTAAAAACTGCTAATGATGTCTCACCCATCATCACCTCCTGTTACCATGTGCTCCTCATTTATGAGCTGGATACAATCAATTGAACCCCTGTAGGGAGGAGAAAAGGTAAATAAAGTAACCAATGAGGTCAGTCTTTCTGTATGCAACACAAGAACACTGAAGCAGAATGAATTGTTATGCACCAAACTAAGCTTCATTTTGGAGAGTCAAATTAAGCTATTCTGATTTCCTAGGGTTGTAGGATTCTTTAAGTTCCTAGCCACCAGTGAAACCATGTTTAACACTACAGGACATTAGAAAGCCACAGCACACTAAATTATATAATTACACTAACAGCAGTTTGGTCCAGCTGAACACACTGTTGCTACTAGCAACCGCTTCTGCCACAATTCTGTAGCAGACAGTGTCATCGTCATCAGCTGTATCCAAATGTCTTGCTGCTTTCACTACTTTCTACATTAACAGACACACAGTGGTTTACTTGTAAACTAGACACTCTAATTACAGCCATTTTGTGACAGTTGATTTGTTAATTGAGGTTTTCAGCCAACAGTTTACTGCTAAGCCTGCCATCAACAACATTAGATATCTGAGGCTTATGCGTTGCTAATACAGAGCTGTATGCAAAGGTTTGGGCATCTCTGTGTGAAGTACATATTTTGTTAATTTTTAATGAAAAGTAAATACAACCCCAGCAGTAAACAGACATGAAAAATGCACCTTTCTACTAAGCAGTCTTACTGGGGTGCCCACACTTTAGCACATGCTACAATTACTATGGATTTCTTTCCTTATTTAAGTAATGAAATAAAAACGGGGCGGTTACATTTGAAGAACTGCTATTTATGTCTGTTTGGTGCATGAGGCATAATTTACTTTTCACTTCAAGAAACTACATTATTTTAAAAATTGAGCACCGTTATGTTTTCACATGAATCTTACAGTAGACTAATATTTGAATAGGTGCCTCACTGATGCTAACAAGCATAACACAGCCGACACACACACACACACACACACACACACACACACGCACGCACACACACACACACAGACGGACTCACTCGTGACCGTGGAAGACGAGCTGAGACTCTTCGGCTATCTTCCACACCCTCACGGTGCGGTCCCGTCCTCCTGTGGTCACACAGCGCTCTCGGCTCAGACTGTCCAGTCCTGTAATAGCATCCTGATGCCCAAAGCTACAGAGATTCACACTCACAGTTCAGCTCATTTATTCAATGCAAATGCAACTGTGGTGAAATAAAGTCTCCTGTGGTCACACAGCGCTCTCGGCTCAGACTGTCCAGTCCTGTAATAGCATCCTGATGCCCAAAGCTACAGAGATTCACATTCACAGTTCAGCTCATTAATTTAATGCAACTGTGGTGAAAAAAAGGGTCTTCTGATTAGTTACTCACAGAGTTTCCACATAAGCATTCTCATTCACGTTCCAGACCTTGACCGAGCGGTCATGAGAGGCACTGTACAGATCATGAGTTCCCTTCCTGAATGAAAGACCCTTAGAAGGAAAAGACATTCTATATGACTCAGAACAAGAGGAGCTCAGAGCTGAGAGAGAAAGGAGGAGAGCATACCGACACTGGGCCTTTATGTCCTGTGAATTTATATAGATGTTTACACGTTTCTGCTTCCCAAATCATAATCAGATTGTTCATGTCTCCAGTGGCCTGAAAAGATGCAGAGAAAGATTACTGCTGTTACAACATCATGAGCCACATGGCAAGACAGACGTAAATCAGCAGGCTTTGCAAAACTGGCAAAAGCATAACATACTGAAAAAAAGCACTACTCACCAAGTATTTTCCATCTGATGATATGGCCATACACAGGATATGGGCTGTATGCCCCACATGCCGATCCTCTGTACCTTTCCTACCCCCATGTATCGTATGCAGTTTCTTACCATCCTCAACATTCCCTGAAGATAAGAAAATAAAAAAAAATAAAACTGCACTGAGGCTGCTAAATCAATCAGTTTGCTTTCTCAACTATAGGACCACTTATATACAATGGCATCATGAAATTTTACTTTATACTAACACTTAATGATTGAGCAGTCTTTGGCAGCAGAAAAGATGCACTTGTCATCAGGGGTGATGACCACACAGGTAACTGGAAGTTTATGTCCTCTTAACACCCTGACCTCAGAGGCATCCGGTGTTATGAGCTAAAAGACAAAGAAGTAAAAGTCAGTTCATTAATAATCAGTTTCCCCCCCTCCCATGACAAAGTAATTTACAAGATACAAATTCCCACACTTACATCTTTGGCAATAAGCCGCTGAAGTTTTCCTCTCTGTTCAAGCTGTGGAGAACCACATAAACAGTAAGACCAATAACACAGACCTGTGCATTTTATACGATCGTGTGTATCAATCTGAGACGTTTCTGAGAATAGACTAGAAATTTAACTTTTTTTAAAAATAAAATACACAAAGGGGTAGTGGTATTCCTGTCAGTCTCACTGCTGTGAGTGTGTGACCAAAACGTGCATATACACCAGCTCAGAACCTACCTGGTCTGGAATTATGGTAACTGTAAACAATTGATTTAGTGAGTAAATCAAATTGAAATTATTAAAGGTTCATGCAGTAGGAGTGACGGGTGAACAGTGACAGGACTATGAAAAGCAAAGGGGACATGTCTTCACACATGTCCCCAGTAACAATTTTATCAAACATACTGGTTTATCACATAAGACAATTCTTACCACTTCTTCTTGAAGTCGTCCGGCAACCAGATTAGCCTCAAATGACTCTTCTTCTGCTTTATTTTCCTCTGAAGAAAGCAGATCACGCAATAAACACATACAGGCACCGACATATAATATATAATGTTAGACCTCAAAGCTATATGGATAAAAACACGCTTACCTTCCTCCTTTAACTGTTCAAGGTAAAGTTTAGCTAATCTAAGCTTCTTCTCCTGCGGCGTTTCGTCAAATCCGCTCTCCTCATTGGACTGCCTTTTCTTATACGCTACAGGACTGAGCAAACAAACACAACGAATTCAGAACTGCTAAAGTGATTTCACATCAGGACCTAGAATGAAAATCAAGAATGCACAGCTTCAAACCAACACGTAAGAAACTAACCTCTCAGTCTCAGATTCGCTGGAAATCTCTTCATTATATTTAGACTTCGCCTTTTTCGCTCTTATTTTGCTCTTAGCACCTGAAACCTCATCACCCTGAAGCAGGATAAAGCAGAGGATAAATAAGGCCACACATACAGCGTATAGTTTGGGTGAGGGGAAGCATCAGAACAGCAGGTTGTATCAGGTAAGCCGCATGAATCACCCTGCTGGTTAGCTAGTTATTGTGCTTTAGCTAACTTACCTTAGGTTTTTGCACCGCTTCAGTTTTCCTCTTCGGGTGTTGTTGTTTTGTCTTTATAAAGAAAGACGAAGACATGATAGAAGTTCCGTTTGAAGAAAAAATGATAATTGCAGATCCACACCTTTCTCTAACAGCAAACCATCACTGAACCCACATGGGTGAACGCCAACCAAACTAGGCCGTTGAAGTCATAGTTTCAGTCAGGCGCTGATTGGTTAATAATAATAGTTTCTTCAACTTGTCCCGCCTTCTGTGAAAGCTTTGAATTCTATTGGTTAAACTAAGGTTTTAGTTAAGCAGGAAACTGTACAGGAGAAAAATACTTCCCTCAGGGAATACGTTTTCGCACCTTTGTTCCGCACATAATTGGAAAAAAATATAAATTTCACAACAGTCATATTATATACATGTGTACAATGCATAGTAAAATATTAATATAGCAGCAGCATCCCACACATATTAAACGTTTTGCGCGGCTGTTAAAAATTAGCCGTAATTGTACCAGGATCTATGTACTGTATTACTGTAGTAGTACTACTACTTCCTCTACTACGCAGTATTTCCATTTACTGCGCTGTCTTTGTCCTCATTGAGTGTGGTGACAGTTTATCCTTGAAGTCGAGCTGAACTGCCAGGTGAGCTTCCTCTGAATTGACTAATATTATGTATTATAATAATGAAAGACAGCTTCTATCACTCACTGGCTCCAGTTGGAGGCAATCCGGAGGCTAGTAGGAGGGGTTGAGGAGGTGGGGTGTGAGATGCGATGGGAACTAACTTTTCGTGTTTGTCTCTTATGAATTACTTTAAAATAAACCAACAGGCAACATTAAGTTACTGAAAAAGTTTGACTCAAAGTTGTACTACACTGCACAGAAAAGCAAAGCTTGATGTGCCAAATGATCAAATTTGTAATGTGTCCAGATTTTTTAAACCCCCATGCCACCCAAGAGAGAGGCAGGAGCAGCTCCAGCACAACCACCAGTCAAGATGATGAAAGGCTGCACAGATGTACAGGACTTTGGCTGTGGTCCAGTGGAGGATAAGTACAGGATGGCTGAAGAATCCAGCTTCTCACCTTTTCCCAACAATGAGGTGATCAATTTTACTGTTTAATTCTGCATAAAAAGGTCGTAACTGCAGTTTACCTTACCATACATGGAAAACGTTGATCTGATTTCTTCTCATTTGGCAGCAGGAAACCACTGAATTTGATGAAGAAAATGTTGCCAGTCCAGGCATCAGAACAGACACCATCAGTCTCCTCATGAAAATAGAGCAACTGCAGGCACAACTCAAATATGAACGCAGATGTCGAATTTTGGCAGAGAGAGAGCTGAGGGAGCTGAAAGGTGGGTGGTAAAAGATGACTAGTTAAAAAAAAATCCTAAAATATCTGTCAAGACCACAAATCTAATTACTGTAGGAACATTATGTTCATAGTCTCCACTGAGCCCATGTCCTCTGTCATACTTTTGTAGATCTCAGAAGTATAATGATACAAAGGGATGGCTAGATTCCAATTCTAGTTTCCTCAATATTTGCTGTACATTATGTGGATCTTTCTAAAAAGTTTCCTAGGAAATTATTATCAAATTATTTAAATGTTCAAAAAGTGATATTATATTAAATAAAAGGGATTTTTATTTTCCACCAAATTACACACCAGTAAAGAAGCACACTATAATTTAACAGTCAAATGAAAAACAAAATGCAAAACTAGATGCTTCGAGTTTTGGTTGTTCTGCAGGTGGAATTCAGACTCACAATTTTAGCCAAGGCTACAAGCATACAATTTATTGGTTTTAATTATTCACTGAAAATTCATGCTCCTGTGTCAGCATCTCTAAACTGATTGGAAACCTTTTGCAGAGATGAATACTCTCATGATGCAGATGAGGCACACAGCACATGAACTACGAGTCACTCTGGATCACGTTCTCCAAGGAGGCGAGGCAACAGCTGCACCACAAATCCCTCAAGATGAAGCGATCTCTTTCCTGCCTGAGACTGAGGCAGAGATGAGAGCAGTTCATAATATCCCAGAGGTCAGAGCTCATGTTCTCCTCGTCTTCTACTCACAGCACAGTTTTGGGAAGATTGCCTAGTTCACTTAAATTTTGTTGTCACGCGAGAACTGATCTAATGCTAGTGCACTAGTTTTTACTTGAACCACAATGAAAGCAGTGGTGTCAGATTCAGCTGTTAATGCATCTTACTAGTTTTGGAACTAACATTTTTTTTTGGATTTGTTTTAGGATGACCACAACTTCCTTTATCTCTCTGAGAATCTTCGAGTACCGAAAAATCTTTATGAACGCATCGCAGAGATTTCAGATTACAAGAAGTACACATCGGCACTGTTGATGATGCTCTTTGACAGAGAAACATTGGCCACACACTCTCTGCAGGGCCGGAGGAACACCTTTACAGGAGAGGACTGCCATAAGCCTCAACTCCCACCTGAGATCTTGAGAAGTATAATTGGTAAGATAAAGGGCATTTGGTTATCATTATATTGTAAACACATACTTGTGCTCAGTATATATGAAATTTGGTAAAACAAATGGAGATTACAGTGTTTATTGTGCTTCTTTTACTAGATCATGTGGCAGTCAAGTTCAATGTTGACAGCAGCCAAATAAAAACTGCAATCAGGACAAAGTTGAATAACGAGGACAAGCTGCTAAAGAAGAGGCTTGGTTTGGGTAAAGCTGAAAACAAAGCTGCTGATCAAAGCTTTTGCCAAGATGCTTCACTTGTGCCTGAAAATGGAGGAATGAGAAATGACTCCCATTTATAGGCTTTCAAATCTGCCATCATCTCTTGGTCATCACCGTTTCATGTCTGAGAGAAAAGCGCCATTTTGTTTTCATTACTGCTTGCCTAGTTTGTTCAGTATTGAAATCTAGTTACAGTTTCTTTTTTATTTTTTACTTTTTAGAGTTTTGTCTTTTTACATTGATAGCTGGTTTTACCTCATGTATGAAAAGTGTACAGTTTATCCTGGTCACTCAACCGAGCCACTGAACAGCACAATAAAATGTCCACATATGTAACTGTCACTGGTAAAAAAACAACCAAGCCTTGTTTAGTTCTAGGTAGTAAATGGCTGTGTTGAAATAACAAATTTGTCAACTTGATCTGTGTCAAATGTTTCTACTGCATTTCAATCAGCTTGTGTTTGAAAGTAGGACATTTACACGCTTTTAAAAAACATAGGGGTCTCATTTGTGCCCTGTTGTTTCAGACAAGTTGTGAATTACATCAAGTGATATTATTTGAGCATTTTCAGAATGAGTCACAGGTGATGATGAATCCTTCCTTCCATAAAATCTCTGTTTGCTGTGCTTCATTACAAAAGAACCAATAAACCTTTGAAGTGGATAACCTTATCTTAATTTGGATTCTTTCTTACATCAGCACATTAAAGTACAGTGTGCTCTCATGGAGATACAGTTTTGCTGTCCCAGCAACCAGCAGATGTCAGTGCTGAGTTCTGTTTCATACGCCACTGCAGCCAGTGATCCACACCTAAAATGATAACCTAGCTGTGTAGCACAACTGTTGTCAAATAGTTTCTATTACTCAAGAAAAAAAAAGCTAAGAAAACAGAATAGACTCCATTTTAAGAAGAAAATATTATGTGTGAAATGTTGAATGAACCAAACAAAGCCAGCCAAAATGGTCTTTATTCTCTCTGAATCTCTGGAGAGAAGAATCGCAGAGAAGTACACAGACAGATGTATAGTGGACAGTGTGTGACAGTCACTGCCACATACAAAGTGATGATAGAGTGTGTGTGCATAGTATTACACTGTGGGGACTAGAACCTATTTGCACACTTACACCGTGGCAACTCAGCCTGGTTCCCACCATATAGATCAATGAATTTAGAGAAAGTCTCCAGGACATGGATACTGTACAAGTTCATGTAAGTGTCCATGAGGAATAAAAAGAAATGTGCGTGAGTGTGTTTAAGGGGGCTAATGTCAATGAGTGCCAGTTTGAGAGTCATCTTCTCTTGAAATATGTAATTTGAACAATCACTGATTACTAGCTCCGCCCCCATCCTTTCTCTCAAACCAGCTGTGCTGTCTCAGTGGACTCACAATACATCATCTCTGTCTGTGTTAGTAGCAGTGCTCCCTGGGGTCCTTTTCAAGGACCACCTATTTCTTTGAGCAGTCTACAATATTTATCAGAGGACACAACATGGCAGCATAACTCCTGACAGGTGGACCGGCACTTTTGCACACCTGGACACAATACCTGAGCAGTGAGCTTGGTGGTTTTTGAGAGAGACGACTCATCACAATTTTTTGGAAGTAACTTTACAAAAATCAAGAGGAAAGCTAACTAGTGAAACCACAGCCCATTTTCAAAATGTGGTAAGTTTTTACTTGGTCAGAAAGAATTGAGTCAAGTGACAAACCTAATTTCTATAGTTCTATTAAATGTTGGTTGTAGGTAGAGATCATATAAAAGTGATGATAAATGCTGTGTAATTGGTCAGTTTAGTGGTTAGAGAAACACTGGTAGGCTATTCAGAGTTTTTCTCTTTATGATATTATCACTGGCGATTCCTACAAGGTTTGCTTCTGTAAGCAAAAATACATTTGTTTGTGAGAGTCTAATAAGAGTGCATAAAAGTTTCATTGTGCCTTCACCATCCACTATATGGTCCTGAAGCACTGCACTCTGGTAAAATTTTAAACAATAATGCACTCTGTTGAAATTGCTGACTACATACAAAATGTGAAAAACCTGTGCAACAACCCCTCATTACCTTACTAAGTAGAATACCATATACAATTACACTGTGTGCAATACCATGTGCAATATTTGAAACTCCCCATTTTACCTGTTACCTTATTCCTGTATCCACAGTTTTATCAACTATTTTGTATTCTTGGGTGATCTTATATTTAGACTAGGTGTGCGTTCTTTTGGCTTTAAACTCTTTACTTGACTCCAGGAGAGCCCTGCATAAGAATTCCTATATGCCCAGACTCTGTGTTTATGCATAAATGGCAAATAAAAATCTTGAATCTTGAATTTTGGAAGTTTAGCCTACAGCTAATGGTCATTTTACTTTGATGTCTTCAACTGGCATAAATATACATTAATATATTGATGCATTAAAATTGGTGATTGACATAATTATACAAGTCATCATAAAGGATGGAGTTATGGGCTTTCCCTGTACAGCATAAAGTGCTTTGTAGCATAATTCTGTCATTCTCAGGTCTATGTAGAAAATGATTCATTTATGGAGATTTCTTTCTACATAAAATATAGTAACAGAGAAGAAACACAGCAGAGGCTAAATCAGTGACATGCTTCCCAGTTGCATTAATAATGAAACTAAATAAGTTAGAACTAACTAGTGGCTGGGCATGATCATCAGTTTCAGCATCTTCCACAGGCAGACATTTGAGGCTTGATTAGCAGCGCAAGATGGGGAGATAACTTTATGGGAAGGCACATTTCAAAGTAATACAGAGAGGAGTATAATAGCATTAACATAAGTTAAGGCTAAATTTGCAGCATTTTGTTTAAGTAAAATGTGCTGTCCTGGCAAGAGGTTTCTTCTTTGATGGCGCTGTGGAGGGTGACACTGAACACATACTAATCAGTACAGCCAGTTCTCTGCAGCTGGGCTAAAACAAGCACTATCTTTATCTTTCACTTCAAAAGGATGAGGACGGATGGAGAAGGGACAGGGCGCCCACCATGAATTATTCCTATTGATCATGTGTCTCCCTCACTGAAAAGCAAGGACGACAAAGCATCCCTGCTAAAATATTCCCACAAATAATGGGAACAATTATTGACTGACAATACTGTTTTTATTTTAATTTATTTTTAAAAAATCTGAGTCCCAAACTACAGTATATGTACACCAATACTGTTAAATGTAACTTTGAATGTAATTGTGAGCATCTGCCATGTTATGTTTTTTAGTATAACGGGATTCTTTTCAACACTGCCTTTAACAACTACTTGCAACTACATGTATATAAAAGGGCTCCTTTTTTTGATTACCCTGCTGAGAATTACAGTATCACCGAACTCTCCAGTACATCACAGCTCTGCAAAACTTTAAAGCCTGTTCAGCACATTGTTTGGTTTTATGGCTGGAAAATTATACTGGTTTGGTTCATTCTTATCATTTCTTTCTGCTGTATACTGCTGTTTTCTGTTAAAGAAAAGCCAAATTTCCCTCAGGAGTTAGTAGAGGCCAAAAAGTGTTAAATGGAGAGTGTATATTGGTCCTGCATTCATCAGGTGGACACAGCTACAAATCCAAATGGGTGCTACTGTTGCACTGTATCTGCTGAACATATAAATTTGCAGTTGCTTGTGTAGAAGGTATTAACTTAAAAGGTGATAATATGTCAATACTGTGTTTGCAGATTGCTTCTGCTGCATCAAAGTGAATAAAAAGTTGGTTATTTCAAGTTTATTTATTTAATCATATCTTACACAAATAGCGTTAAATGTAAATATCTTCTTTTAATGGTCTATTTTTCCTCTTCACAGGAATGGAATGTTTAATTTGATGTTTGAGTGATCCTTTGAGGGTGCCTGGTATCCAGATGTGTACTTTGAAACCTTTATTATGAATCATGGAGGAGAAGAGTTCATTTCTGACTCGTCAGGACAATGACAGCACAAGCATTTGGGCACCGATGCCAACAGCTCCCAGCAGACAGCTGGGTACCCTTCCCAGCCCCCAAACACGCTTCAAGGACCTGACAGGGATATTTTTCATGGTGACCCTGAATGCTCTGGCACTTCTGGCCAACACTGCTGTTCTAGTTGTTGTCATAAAAGCCCCTCATCTTAGGAAATTTGCCTTTGTTTGCCACCTGTGTGCAGTGGACCTGCTGTGTGCCATCTTGCTCATGCCTCTTGGGATTGTGTCAAGCTCTCCGTACTTTCCTAGTGTGGTGTTTACTGTGCTGGAGTGTCAGGTCTACATCTTCCTCAATGTAATCCTCATAGCTGCCTCTATTTTCACCATCACAGCCATCAGTGTGGAACGTTACTACTACATTGTCCACCCAATGCACTATGAAGTCAAGATGACACTGAAGCTGACTGCAGCTGTCGTGGTACTGGTATGGGTGGCCTCTGCTCTGCTGGGCTTGTCCAACGTGTTTGGGTATCCACCCTATGGCAGCCTGCGCACCATCAGTGCTGCGCATTGCTCAATATGTTGGAGCCACAGCGAGCACAGGCCGGTCTTCTATGTGCTCTTTAGTGTCACATGTTTCTGCCTGCCTGCTGTAGTGATTTTCACCGTCTATTGTAATGTGTACAAGGTGGCTCGTGTGGCCGCTCGCCAGCATGGACCTCTGCCCTTGTGGGCAAACAGCCAACTGAAACACCGCTCTGACTCAATAAACAGCCAGACTACCATCATCACAACCCACAGTGCCCCACGCAGGATTATGCACAATCGGCTTTTTGGTGGTAGTAAGGCCGCTCTCACTCTGCTTGTTATTGTTGGTGAGTTCCTGATCTGCTGGCTGCCTTACTTTGCCTTCCATCTCCACCTGACACTAGATACAACACCCAGAATCCCTGATGACCTGGAGGATGTGGTCACCTGGCTGGCATATTCCTCCTTTGCTATAAACCCATTCTTTTATGGGCTTCTTAACAGGCAAATCAGGGAAGAGCTTTGGAAGCTGAGGCGTTGCTACTTGGCCCGGCCAGTAGAGCTGGGTGTCTCCAGCCATGAGGGCTTAGGCCATGAGAACTTCCTGCAGTTCCTCCACAGGACCAGCTGCACGTTAGAGACATGTGCAAGCTTTGCCACATCGAGTCCTAGAAGCACTCTGGATCAAAGTGGGCAGACTGGCTTCAGGTTACCCGGGCAGATTCCAGAAGAGTTCAGTTAAATACCTCACTGTTGCGCCACAGCATTAATAACCTGGAGACTCTAAATCCACGGGGATTCACAGTACTTCATGAATGTCTACAATGTCTGTAATCTGTATACAGTAAAATATAGCTTCAAGAAATGAACACTTACTTTCTTGTCTTTGAAAGCTGAAACTCTTTTATACTGTGTTTTATACCTTTTACCCTCAGAAACAAATACTGGAACACAAAGCTCATGGTCATTTTAAATTATTGTTACTGAATCTCTAGTAAAACTAGATGTTATATAGTTACTAATCCTACTTAAAAATGTTTTTCTGGTGACTAAGGAAATGTTACTATTTATCTGCAATAAGTAGATCTATTTTATTAAAAGCAATGAACGCAGGTATCACATTATACTTGAACAGTATGTCATGACAATATATTCATTTAAAAGGTCTATTTCTCATAAATAAGATGCTGAGGGTGAGACTGAGCAGAAATGTATT